TTTCTTCACCCAGGTGGGAGGAAACTCTACAGCTGCCAAGAAGAGGTTCAGGAGTGGTGCATGGATCATCTTGAGCTGAATTTGTACTGGTTGCAGAAGAAGGGATGCCAGTGCTGTGAACATATCTAAGTACCTTCTATGAACAAGGCAGGATGTCTTTTTGCTCTACAGAGCTTGATTTATGATCAAAACCCCAATACAGAGGCCAGTTACAGCCCAAACCCACCCCCCCTGCAGTCATGGATGATCTGTCAGGAAGAGACCATGCATGGAGGACCCTGTGCCATGCACATGCCACAAAACAGCACATTTCGGGATGAACAGGCACCTTTCTAGGTAACAGCTATGTTATGTAAAGTCGTATCACTGGAAACAGTTGGGTGCTTTCAACCCTACAAATTGCCTTTCATCAACTGAGTCCCCAGGTGAATGCAAATGAGCAAACCTAATGCTTAAGACAAAGAGTCTTATTGGATACCAGATGATTCATCTGTGGGTAAATGCATACGGGTGCTCGTGGGATTTCAGCCTGGCGTGGAGGTTTCCATGCTGAACAGGTTTTGTTTCTCTTGGATCAGCGGTGAGGAAGGAAAGCTACAGGGTCTGCAGGGTTTCTGCTGGAAATGCAGGTGAAAAGCAGGGCTTTTTGGTGACTGCATAAGGTACTATTTGTAAATCTTTGTAAATCCATGCGCTCTGCTCCAAAGAAGACAAAGCCTCTCAGTAAACAAGAGGTGTGCACAGATATGTGCAGTGTGCTGCTGGGATGCCAAAAAAGCCCTCTTGGGAATCAAGCCAGAGTTGCACAGAGGCCTGGTTGGTGTTTTCTTTGGACGGTTGCTGCTGGAAATTGCTGCTGAAACATTTTCAACGAGGTTCTTTCTTTCATTTAGACAGATTTCTTCCAGAAACTTTCCAAGAAGCAATAGTATTTTTTCTCCAAAATACTGGCTAGCCAGAAAGTAAAAGTACTCCAGCCAAACCTCAAGCTCTTTGATTAGTAAATTCTGCAGTGCTGCCTCCCTGGAGTTTTAGTTCACTTACTCTTTATCCCCATTCCCCTTTATGGGCCAAGTTCCCTGCTTATCCCACAATGCACCCTGAAATGTCAATTCTCACTCAGAAATTATGAGACCTCCTGACATGGATGGGACTTTGGGGCATTTGCATTGAGCTCCAGGATACAGATTAAGTGGAAATGTAAGACGCTTGGACTAAAGCAATGCTTCTCACTAAAGTTTTATCCCAATGCAACTGAAGATTTTTTTGCACTTGGATGTCTCCTGAATCAAAACTTTACCTGTGGGCCCGGGGAGGGATGGGGCTGGGAATTCAACCAGCAAAGCACCCTCTAGATTATCAGACAATAACGTGAATGGTTACTGACTGACCTCAAAATAATAAAACTCTGCCCCATATAGACCTTTACACCAGAATAAACCAAATCAGCAGCTTCCAGAGGCTCCCAGTAAAAACCGTCCCAGGTTGTGATGAGCTGCGAGCAGAAGGAGCAGAAGGAAGATGATTGGAAAGACCGCCCTGTCAGCCAGCACACGAGAAGGCATCTTCCTGCATGGAGATGTGATTCGTGAGATGGTGAATTTTCAGTTATAGGCACCAGTGAGGGGGGCAATTGTCTGTCTGTCTTCTTTTGGCACACATTTTGTTGTGTGCATAATGTGATTTAAATAGTTTTATCTTCTTCCTTCTTGAAAGTCTTCTCTACTCACACTGCTGTGCTAAACACAGGCACCAGCAGGGAGAATGTCACCTTCCTGTCACCTCAGGAAAAGGGTTTTTTGCTCCCATAACACAAACCATCGAACTACATAGGATACTTTAAAAATTCAAAGGTATTCTTATTTGACAGAAGCAAAAGGAGATGTTTTCATATCTTACTAACATATTGGATATTCATTTCCTTCTACTCAAATGAAAGTTCCTGCCACTAATGGAGTAATATTTCAATTTAAAAATTTTGTTTGGAAACTATTTGCATTACCTACAAGTCAAGCCAAAAATAAGACTATTAGCTTTTTCCTTGCCAAAGCAGATTTACCACTCAGCACCTGCAATGAGAAGTTATATTCAACTATTTATACTGCAGTTTCTGGCTATAGGGTATCCGTGATATATATGTTACCTCGGTGAATACCTCTTATAGGTGCATGCTGAAAACTGCTCACATAAAAAAGCACGAGGGCAATTTGGCTCCAGCTGAATTCAGGCCTGCGTGCAGCTGCCTGGGCAGGAGTACTGTCAGATCCTCAAATAAAACATTTCCCTTCCACAGCCATTCCTGGAAACATACCTTTCCCATATCACTGTTCATGAATACCAAATAAAAGGTAAAGAAATTGCCCTCGAAGGAAACTCTTCATTTTTATTTAAATGAATACTTAATGAATCTACTTAAGAAGTACTTGCCTCAGGATATTTCTAGAACTATCTGCGAACAGAAACCTGTAAAATTAAATTATTAAGTGTTAAAGTTTTTATGAGATGGGATAAACCCTTCTTCCTATTTCAGGGTGCAGTAAAATCCCCGTGGCAAAGCCTGGAGCACACAGCGCTGTCAGTACCCAGACACACTGCCCACACTAAGCCTCACAGGATCCTTTGCTGTAAGGAGAAATGCGGTACAGACACAGCTGGAAACTCCTCCTCAGATGGGCTTTCTGTTGGGAAAGGCAGAATAAACACAGAGTCCTTAAGCTTTCTGGTCCACCAGTATGGCCTAAGCACGCCTGGGCTCTTTGCAATGCCTGTCCTCGTGAGGATGCTGGCCCATGTCTGAAGGACGGCAACTGTGATGAGTTGCTACTTTACATTAGAAGCGTGTTGTTTTACAATGCAGAGCTAAATATTCATAGAAGTACTTAATGAGAATTCATTCATTAAGAATCTTCACGCCCACAGGAAGGTGATCGGTGTTATCATCTGATGCAGAGAGAAACCAAGAACTGTCAGGCATCAGAGCTCATCTCTGGATTCGGATGCCCCCTTTCCCAGGCCTCCCCTCTTGCAGTCAGGTCTGAGCCTCAGGCAGGTTGCTTCAGTGTGTGCTGGAGGACGAGGTTCAGAGAGGATCCCACCAGCACCAGGGGCCCTGGGAGTAGCCAAGTACCTGGAGGGCGTGCAGGGGTGGGACATGAGCACCAGTGTCACTGCCACGTGCTGCAGCTCCACCTGAAGAAGAACTGAAGGATGGAGGCAAATATATTTTAGCCAATTTTTTTTTTCATTCAGAGTGTTCAAAAGGCAGAGTTTGCTAATTCCTTAGAATTATCGATAAATAAATATAAATAAAGAAGCCAGATCAGCCTCTCTCAGCTCCACTGAACTGTGCCACTGATGTTTCTCACACTCTCCAAAACTGCAGCTCTACCAGCACCATCCAAGCACAAATGTTTTCTCAACCTCCCCCACATGCTTGGCACCTTCCTTCTGTGCTGCTCTCTCTGCCTGTTCAGATCTCTGCTCATTTTTTCACCTCTCTCACCTTGTCAAGTTTTCATTAACAGAGGATTATCTTTACTCCTTTTTCCTTCAGTCTTCATATTGGATTTCATTTTAATTTCTTTACTGACCTTTTCCCTTCTCCTAATGGTTTTGTTATTGAATGCATGATACCACAAGAGACCAAACACCTCTGCTTACAAGAGGTCCCCCTTGGGGTTTTCCAGGCTTGCTTTTACATCCTGCAATGAAATTCTGTATTTTTGAGACCATTCCTAGCCCCTGGAAACCAGTGAAAATCTCGTTACTGATTCCAGAGGGACAGGGCCAATCACTAAAATCAATGAGACTCCAGGATCGAACTTTTTACAGCTCCAGCCAACTTCAATAGCGGCCTCCCTTGTGCATCTGAGGATGCGATTCAAGCCACAAGTCAGTAAACAATTAATTGACCTATTTTTTAAGAGGCTATGTCAGAGTTAATGGGCAACGTACTCAGGCAGCTTGAGGCAGAACTGAGGTCTCATAATTTTAATGCTTCATATATTATAGGTACTGAACTCTGAAGAAGAACGGTGATCATCCACATTGTACATTCCTGCCAAGCACACAAGCCAGAGAGTTTCACTGCACCCACCTCAGTTAGAGCACATGTCAGAGAGCAGAAAGGGTTAATGATCCTCACATTTAAAATATATTCTCTATTTACAGTCTGGATTTCGCTTAAGCCCCTCACTACAGGCTCTCTAAATTTCTCTTTTCAAAGGCATAAACCTCTGCTCACTTCTCTCAGTATAAGTACTCGGAGAGTGTGACCAGATTTTGAAAGCCATAAATTCTGTGGATTTTGTAATACCGTCCAAGATGCCTCAATATTCCTTTGATTGCTTTTTTCTTTTTCTATTTCTATTTTTTTAAAACTATAAATAGAGCCTTCTTTCTGCAACCAGTCTCCAAAGGTCACCTTACAGTGTTTTGCTATTTCCCGTATTAAGCAGCAATGCTTTTCAGCTGACATTCCAACTTCAAGTCATGCATATGAGCATGATGCGAGCGGGCTTCAGACCACAGTGAGAGGGCTGCAAACAAGACTGCTGTAGAATTGCTGAGAAAAACAACATCCATTGTCAAAAAGGGCACTTAATCAAACAAAATTTAGCTGCATGAATACAAGCGTCTCCAAATATTTGGTTCATGCTAAAAATATAGCACATTTATTAAAAATATATATTTATAAACATTGGTATGAACAGACACAGATGTCAAGCAAATGAGAAAGGAAAAATAACCATGTAATATATTTCTCCCAACATTTTATCGGGTTTGGGCAGACCTTGCTCAATCGAATTGTTTTTTTCATGATTGCACCATATGTTCATTCTAAATAAAAAGCTTGTCAGATTCAATGTAAGTAAAAGCAGAAACCAAGAGAAAAAGTCATTGGACCTAACAGACACGTGATCTGTGCTATGAAGCTATCTTCGAGTTCAACCTTTGCGGGTATACAGTATACATTTCAATCGTATATAGTGTATAGTTTCTTTTTCTTTTTCTTAAATTGTGTTAAAACAACAAATCCCGGGTGGATTTCTTCAGAGCTACAACTTACATAATTGCAGTCATTTTCCCCCAGACCGAAACCCAAACGGAAAGGAAGAGGGCAGGACAAAAGAGTTAAGCTTGTTACTGTGTGAAAAAGTCTTGTTAAATTAATTGTGCTTCAGCCTTCGCTGCCTGCGGGCAGTGCTTTTATGATGTGTTAATATAATACAGAGTCAATTCCGATTAAACAACTTGTCATTAGCCAGCAATGTTTGTCGTCACTCCTAATGGTCGTCTTATCCGGTCTATTTGCGTGCCTTCTAGTTTACAACGTTGTGTAAATGTACACAAAAATGATCACAATGAGGTTCAGAATTGTCCCAATAATTCCAAGCATGGCCAAGATGGTTTCTTCTTTGCTTTCCTTTTCTTGACTGCCTTTATCTTCTTCATTCCCGCTAGTGATTACCATCTTGGTGGCCAGTTTCTTTATCCTCCCCTTCAGGATAACCTGAATTTAGAAAGAAAAACATCAAAAAAAGATTGTTTGATTTTCCAAGCTCATATTCACAGTGGAGCAAATTGCTGAATTTTTGCCCCATAGTGCTTCATATTAAGAATTCACTTTTAAAGGATTAATATATTTACTAGCTAATTAGTAAATGCTTAAAATGACAGTCTGTAGATTAATTATAACCCTCCATAACAATATCTGCTTATGTGCTAGCAATCATTCGTAGCACATATAATTCACCTGCAATGTCATTATAAAACTGGTTAGAAATGTACCAACAAGGTGTGACTTCACCAGCACCAGTGGGGACTTTGTCTGCATTCGGAGACAAACACAGGAGAGCATCTCGTTAAATTTTGGAGACCCCAGATTTACACTTCAGTACCAAGAAGCAAGTCGATGAGGGAAATAAAACTAGGAAGACCTCGTTTCTTTTCAACAGCAAAATCCACCAAAGACAAAGCCATTTTGTCTCCAGACGAGAAGGAAGACAGCAGTGACTTTCCAATAAATAATTCAAAATAAAAGCAAAACCAAAATAACATCCATCTTGGCTTTTATTTTCCTCATTCTTAATGTACGATGAGAAGTTACTTGCAGCGCAGTGAGCTGAAATGTATCGATCTGCCTGCAGGGAGGATACAGACATTTCCCAAGCAGCAGCCCCAGCCCCTCAACTGCTTAAAAAGAGAAGATTTTTCAAATGCGGCACCAGCCCTGACTCCCGGCACCGCTGGAGCCACAAACAGAGAAGCTGCCTTGGTCTCCCAGACAGGCACTGAGACCTGGGTAAACATTTGATTCTTCAAATTAGAAACAGATAAAGTCTATTTATCTGTGCTTATCTAACGTTGCAAATTCTGATCTCATGGGCAAACCAGAGCGCCCCAGAAAACTGAGAAAAGGTTGGCTGGTTTCCCGAGGCCAACTGATCTGGCAACAGCTGTGTTCAGGCAATGCCCTGCTGTTGTCTCCCAAGCTGTAAACCATATCCCGTGATGGTTCTGCTGCAAGAAGCAGAAAAAACGTCCCCTAAAATCTCCTGCCTACCCCCAGCAGGTATCCCCATAGGGGAGCCCTGACCTGCAGCTCCCTCAAGGTCCTGGGCTGCGCAGCCCTGGCACAGCAACCCGAGTATTGAAAGGATGGAAAGGAGTGGGAGAGGTGAGGAAATCTTGTGACACAGAAACTGAGAGGAAAAACAGCGAATCCAGACAAAACCGCCTGTATTTTGTCACATCTGCACGTTGTTCATATATAGGGCAGTGAGTAGCTGCTGGCAATGTCCTAGAACAGGCGTCATGGTTGAATCCCAGCAGGTACAAGCGATCTGTGGTGAGTAAGGCAGGAGCAGGGGTCTGCGGAGGAGTCACTGGCCTTTGTACTCACACTTGCATTAGCATTTACATGCTTTGCCTTAGCGTCACCAAGTGATTCAGCGGAAAACAAGAATGAGGGAGTCAGTGACCTGAAGGTACCCACAGCAAACCCAAGTCAGCAGGA